AGTTGTATAGCGAAAAGGTTTTATAAGAATGGCGCATTGGGCACGTTCAATTTGCATAACTTTCATCACATCCATCAGATATTCAAGATAGTAAGATAATATCGACTGGCATAATGCAGATTACACTATCTTGATTTTATGTGTATAAGAAGGTTTTCTAAGGCGTTTGAGTACATTTATAAGTTTACGAACTCGAGAACAGAGGTAGAATATTTGAGGGCCCCAATAAAGCCTCGAATCAATCATTAATCCCAGTGTGAAGTTTTAAGGTTTTCCATGCAATAATGGTGCGATAGAAATGCCTGTACGACGGGGTGTAATCATAAACGGAGTAACTTTTAATTAAAAGGCCAATAAACTTTATTATCAATACGTAACGATCGATTTAGAATTGTATTAATCCTACTTGCATAGACATTCAAACTTTTGGGCTGACAGCCGCTGATTATAATACAAAAAAAGTTGAAAAGATAGTTTTTAGTGATTGATAAACAATACTGCTAATGTAACATATTATGATTTTATTATATTATTCTGAAAAATAAATAAATGAAAAAGTGTATATAATATATAAACTTACATTAAAAATATATAGTAAAATTTTAAATTAGTTAAGGTTTCAATTTCAACGATAACAAATTTATTTTAAACGCATTTTTCAAGGTCCTGATGAAATCAACCCACTGCTTCCGCATCCTGCTTTGATGATGTTGATAATAATGTATTATTGTTTTAATTATACGGCAGTATGTTACTGCGAAATCAATGTTTGCTAAGTCTACTTGATACCCTTGTTCATCCAATAAAATCCAAATTAAAATCTCAAGATAAACAATCCGCAAAAATAGAGGACACCGTGAGCCATTTCTGCCAAAACCCTCCATCTTTTAGTCGATACCAACTCCGGGGAAACAAATACAGATAATACAACTCATTTCAATCATAAAATGACTGCTTCAAGACTGATTTGAGAGCGACCGCCGATGCGAAAACCGCTGTGTGAGTTCGAAAAGTGAGTTACAGAATCGCAGGGCTGTGATACTTTTTGACATTCAACACCTTTTGTCTTCAGTCACCGTGACCACGCACGCTGTAAAGCACGCGAAACGTCGGTTAAATTTAAAATTATGAAAAATAACAAATACATACACTAACAAAACTTCAATACATAACTTCAATCCGGTAAAAAATTGTTTTATTACCCTTATTCAGTTAGGAGTATAGTATATAAAAGTCTCAACTTCGAGATACTTTCGGAACCCAGCACTAATAGATAAAGTTAATTTTAATATTTACCTAAAGTAAAGCAGCTTAGTCGCCTCAGCGTGCGACTCTCAATCCTTAGGTCGTAGGTTCGATCCCCGGCTAGGCACCAATGGACTTTCTTTCTATGTGCATATTAGTTAACATTCACCCGTACGGTGAAGGAAAACATCGTGAGAAAATCCGGCTTGCCTTAGACCCTAAAAGTCGACGGCGTGTGTCAGGCACAAGGGGCTGATCACCTACTTGCCTATTAGATTGACAAATGATCAATGATCAAGACTACAGAAATCTGAGACCCGGACCTAAAATGGTACAACCTTTACCACATTACTGCCACCGCCATATTGCGTCGCTGATTTATTTTATAACTTTAAAATAAAAAAAATAATTAGAGTGGTAACAATCTTTATCAATTGTTTCTGTTAAGTGGGAAAGACTTTCCGCAAGATTTCCGGTGATAACTCATCACATTGCCAATAAACATATTTTTAAAATTAACATTGCATTAATATTGAGAAACTTATAACCTAGAAAGAAACGAGACACCGAGGCACAGTTTCACAAGATTCATAAGGTTAACATTGCCCCTAACCGGATTCCTTATCCAAAACTTAATAGTTCCTTATTGGTAATTGGAGCAAAAGCAAAGAGCGTAATGGACACGGGGTGTTTCGAAATTACACCCCACTCATTTACTTTCTAAATGAGCTTTTTAAATTAGCTGTATAACAGGTATTTAAATATTTTCATTACAATTTAATAAAGTACGTCAGTTAGGACTAAGGTAATTTAGCAATCTAATGGTGATTTTAATTTTTGAAAGCAGTGCCGGACTTATGGGGTTAAGTGATTACAAAAACAAAATACAAATCTTTCCTCTTTATACTATAGAATTGATTATAATTATAGAAACAATTGAATATAAGTATGAGCTTGGTCGTTAAGTGTGTGATTCACCCTAACGGCGGCGCACGTTACACAGCATTTTTATTTTTTTTACCCAATTAACACTTTTCCTACAGTGAAGAAATCGCTATATCTCCAATCAGTGTTAATTATTTATTTATTAATACTTCGTTGCATAACAATATAAAAATTGGACATAATTAAATGAAAAGAAGGGCAACTGGCGGCCTTATCGCTTTGAGCGATCTCTTCCAGGCAACCACAGCTAATTTTATTAAATTAGATAAGGTAAGCAAGAAGTGCAAAAATACATAATACATATTAGGACAAAACTAAACAGGAAAAAAGAAAAATAAAAAGAGCACATGAATCGCGATAATTTTAGATCACTTTAGATCAGTCTCACGTCAGTTAATAGTTAGTACCAAAGTTAAGGAAACGATGTGGACAGGTAATGTTTGTACAGTAGAGATTTAAAGGAAGATAGAGAAGGAGCTAAGCGAATAATATATAATTATCATGTTATTGATCTCAGTAGGAAGTAATTGTTCAAATCAACTGTGAACAGTCATTCAAGTCAATAGGCAATACAACAATTTGGCATCTTCGTCTTTGGTTTCATCAGACTCATAGACCATTTTCCCTCTTATAGCTAAAGCTTATAAGAACTTGATACATTTTTCGGTCATATTTTAACACACACATATTCTAACGCATGAATTACGATTTGCATTATCTACAGAAGCCAAGCATGAATCTATGACACAATCAATGATATCCTATCAGGATTAGCTTTTAATAATTTTATCAATAAAGATACATATATAGAAAAAATCTTTTAGCAAATCGGGATTTTAGGCACAAAATTATGTTGTAAGTTTTATTAATATTGACAAAACAAATTTCTATGGTTGCTTGATTAATTTTTTCCCTTGCTAGCTTGCTTATGTTCTTATATAATTGATGTGTATGTGTGTAAAATTTGTGATGTCATATTTTGTTTTCGAACTTATAAATAAATATATTATTTACATTTGTAAATGTTATTTACCTTATTTTATATAAGGTAAAATTGTTTAGCAGCGTTATATTTAAATAAGGTCATCCTTTTTATCTTCGTCCACAAAAAGAGATTAATTTAATTATTTTATTTAATTTTTATTTTATTTATTAAATTAATAAAATTTAATTATCTCTAGAATCTCTTCTTAGAATGTTAAAATAAATAAATATAATATAACATTTTCATTTCCAGATAACTCATTAAGAATGTTCGTTGTTTAGTTTGATAATGCCCAAATCCTTAATAGTATTGTTTGTTTATACAAAGTAATTATAAATGACCTCCTCAGCGATTGTAAGAAAGTTAGTATATTCGGAACTATACGTCGTTATAGCAGTAAGCGACCACGAATATCTTTTGTTATTAATTAATATTCAAATAAGTGTGTGATGTGTGTACTTTAATATTAAAAGGCAATTTAAATCAAGTCTCCCACATCAAACAATTCAAACCTTTACGGTGGTCAACTATGATAAATTTCAGATTCATAGGCGCGTAAGGCTGATCTTTAGACGCTCATTTGTTTAAGAATAATGATGCTGAAAGAGGTCAAATTCCATAGTAGTTTCGTTAGGGTGATTTAGGTACCTACTCTACACGACGAACAGTTGTTAGTAGTTATACTGTAATATAAATTCAAAATAAATATTATTATACTCTTTAACTAAATTAGTAAAACGTCCCTTTTTGTCAAATTGTTTATAGTGTGTTGATTAAAGTTTGCACACACGTTTTCTCAAGATCTTTTCCTTCGCTATACGAGAAATAATCTATAGAATGTCCGGTTTTCTAATACTCGTCTTCCCTTGTGTATCGCGCCAAATGTTTATACTTAATTTAGCCAGAGGTCAAAATATTTTCATCATATTTATAATTCATGTATCATAGATACATTTTAGCGGTCATGCACACGTTATTAATAATATTAGATGTCCTTATAATAAGAATGTCGGTTGTATATTTAGTTCAATTAATCCAACCTCAAAACATTTATTTCACACACATATATCATATATAACACACATATATACAGTATTTACAATAATATTCTTAACCTACATAATAATAATTGAATTAAAAATGGATAAATAGAAAATCAAAACATATTTAAAAACGTTGGTCCCTGTGGCAGTGTACCTTTTATGCTGGCAGGACTTCCTCTAATGCGATTCTTATTCGTTGAGTCAGGAAAGCATCAGCTCTGGGGTCACCGGTACTCTCTACCAGGCACCAATTTAAATCTTTAACCTGCGCCTTTAAACCCCACAACAAAACAAAATTGCTTTCTAAATTCCGATGCTAGCTGTGGCTTTAAGGAGAGTGTCTCCTCCTTTTAAAGTCGTAGAAGGCAATTTCAAGCCGGGATCGGATGCTAACCACGCATTTCTCGCATCTGTTTAATCCATCATCTCAAGTCTGTTCATCTCAAAAGAACATGAAACACTGCTTCCAATATCACTGAACTGCGTGCATCGGTATTTACGCCTGATGCAAGTCTCAGAGTGATTATTTTTAAATTATATTATAACAATTCGATTTTAAGACTTTATAAGAAACTGAACAAAATAACATATGATTAGGTTATCTGTTAGTCAGTTTTGCTTGCGACAGCAGAGACAGATGACACGCGAATTAATGAAAGTTATTAATGTTTTAATAATGTTTTAAATCAAGATATAAAACAAACCGAAACGTCCTTGATCTAAATTCTTACGCGGTTTTAGCAGATATTTTATTTAAATTCTTCAGATTTTTAATCTATTAACTAATGACTTACCAGCTGAACATACCATGGACCATCGTCTTCTTTATAAACATCCCAATCACATGGAACTCCCGTCAAAACAGCGAACTGGTCGCTGTTCTTCAAATCCACAGATGCAATATGATTATCATAATAATGCAGCCGCAATTCCTTCTGAAGAACATCGTACATTTCAACACAACTTCTGTTCACCATCACCTGACCCAATGGACAACATTTCCGAAAACAATTTCTCAATTCGCAAGGACATCCGAAAGTCTCAAAGTCGCCGCTCACATTTAACGAGAAAATCTCATTTGGCGGGAAGCGAATTCCATTTTTAATAATCGAACCGTCGCTAAAAACATCTAAACCTGTCAAGTTCATTCTATAATCGGCACTACACAGCTGTCCACTCACGTTTATGATACAAAACAAATTTATTAATAAAAAAATAAACATTTTTATATTTTTGCCAATAAATATGACGCGTTGTCGTGCTATCGCTATGAATACAAGTGTACTGGCTTCGATGCGATGTGTTACTGTCATTACCCCAGGGAGTTGATGTGAACTTGACCACGTTTTCGAAATCTCTTCAAGGAATAAAGCTCTTCCTATATCGAAAATTGCGTTGAAATATTCAATTCTTAGGAATTATGGTGAGGTATAAATGTATTTTTAACTAAGCGTCGCGACGGCGTGCGCGGCATTTCGTAGACCTTGCTTTTAGAATAAAATTGTCTTGTGATTTTACGATATTACATTGAATGTAACATTAAACAACAGATTAGTAAGATGATGTTAAAACAAGCTCCATTTTAAAATATTCAAATCTGAGTCTATGTCTATTCCATATATAGTTTGAATTTGGAATCCCATTTTACCTTATTTTGACTGTTTTTATCTGTGCCAATGTCAAAAGTACGCGCCAATTATGCGAAACAAGTTACCGGTCAATGAACCCTGAGATTTATCGATGTGTTGTTATAAGTATTGCAATTCAATAAGTAAAAAATAATGTCCTATTTATATAAAATTAAAAACGTTCGCAGTTCAAGCAAGTGAACTTGCGATTTCCTTTGTATGATATTCAGATTTATAGTCTATTTTTATTATATTATTATCTATAGTCTTTGCTTTTATTGTTTGACAAATTGAATAATAACAACTTATTATGTACAGATAAACGTGTAACTTTGTTACGGTAGATATATTAAACTGTGGAAGCGACCATTATAGTGATACTACTATACAATTTTAACAGGCAAGTTATTAATTATGAATAATAAAATTCTACACAAAAAATAATTATAACCTTATGTTTTTGCTCGCATACAAGTTTAAAACCTTTAACTGACACGCGTTTTCCGCTGATTCCTTATACTGTAGGTTAATGTTACATCAATCATACTTAGAATTTCCACATATGTATATCGCTCTTTGGGTCGGTAACTCGTATCGTGGTCAGCTGATCTAGCGAGAATAATTTTCCTTCACAAACTTTGCTCCTGCGCTTCTATTACAGTCTTTGACTTGATCAGTCTATCTTTTGGCTTCGGTGTTGCCAATAAAGATGAGCTTGATGAGCTCCTCGTCACCCTTACGCGCTGTGTGGGCAAAGTACGAAATGATGCGTTGTCGGCATATGATTGATAACGGGTTTTCATATGGAGCTGGGTAACGGTGTTTTAAACATCCGCCTCCATCACCACATTTCAAAAGCATCAATCCTTTGCCTTTCTCGGGCTTTCTTGTCCACGTTTCTGCTTCATATAGGAAGATTGAAAATACATCTCTATATAAAATTCTCGTGTCACAATGTTCGTTACCATACTCCTCCGAAACGGCTCGACCGATTCTTATGAAATTTTTTATGCATATTCAGTAAGTCTGAGAATCGGCTGCTATCTATCTTTCAAACGCCCAAGTGATAAGGGGTGTCCACCCCAAAAAATGATTTTTATTTTTTGAAAATTTTTCTGTTTTTATTTTTTTATGATACAAAATACAAAAATACATACAACCCCTAATTTTCACCCCTCTTCGATCAACCCCTATTTTTTATTATTGTAGATAGTTATTTTTATTGAACTAAAAAAATGTGTCCTAGAAATATTTACACTAAAAGCGATAAAATACCTACATTTAGGTACAACCTTTTGCATATTAGTGAATATTCAAACAGGATTCAGATGCATATGACGCAATGTACTTGGAATCGTTGTATTTAATCACGATTCAAATAAGCTAATATAAATAACTGGTGTATGGTTAATAATTTTAAAAACCGTACATATTATAAATCGAAGTTCCCTGGCCTTGTAGTTCATTAAAACACTACCAAACATTATTTTACGGTTTTCACCAATTGATTTGAGGAGTTTCTTATGGTTTTAATGAATTTAGCTGAAATATAAAGATTATGTTGACGAGTCAGGCGGCGGGCCAATTATAAGCCACACAATATAAACTATTGGTTAGTATTATTTTATTTTCGTTAACTTTCATAAGACAAACTTCCTTCTAGCTAAATATCTTGGTGATAAAAACTTACGGCGGATAAATCGTGATCGTGTTTGTTGCCATGGTTACGATATTTTTTTATAATAAAGGTAATAATTATGATCGGAATTTCCTCTGACCTTCGCTTATAAACTGATTGTTCACAAGAAATAATTAATGTACCTTATATTTTTAATAAGGAAAACTGATACTATATATTTTGTGAACAATTACAATTATTTTACATAATGTTTTTAATTCGATATTCTGTATGTTGTTGTTGATATAAGATTAGATACATTTAAATCCTCAGTAATCATCATTATTTCTTAAGCATATAATAATAATAATATAGCGCTAGTCCCCCACTAGGGAGTCCCTGTGTTATGGGTAACTAGATAACAATTAGTCAGTGGTACATGTTTTTTTAAAAAGTAGGTTTAGTGGTACAACTAATCAATCACAAGTCTTATAAGACATTAAGTATGCGTGAATGTGTGAGTGTGTGAATGGGTGTGTGTGCGCATGTATTTGAGCGTGTAGCTAAGAGTTGTTATAAACCTGCTGTATGTTAGGTTTTGGATCCTCAGAGTCATGCAAAGATACGTAGTAAGGCCGCTCTATATATAGTCAATTTATACATTAATTTAGCATGTTACTAGAATTCGTACAAAAAGTTTTTTTTTTCGAAACCCTTAAGTCTTGCAACAGTACCTACTGTAAATAGTGGCCATCCAATTGGCTATCATTTCCAACGTTAATCCCATTTGATTTAAATATTATATTTATATTGTTAATTTAATTGTTATTTATATTTAAATGCTTGGCACATCTTACGGGTTGCTCTCGTAAAAAAATTGTGAATTGTTACTTTTATGAGGAGAATTGGCTGGAAACCCGGGAAATCCTAAGCTGGGAAGTGATTAATATTGTTTATATCTATATATTATTGAGTAAATTATTATTGTATATCTCGGATTTAGTGCCCGGTCCTTTAGGAGGCTTACGTAGTGACAGGTCTAATAGGAAGTAGCCGTTTCGGGGAACCAAAGCATTAATGTGTAGTGGAACTTCAGCCGCAGCTTACCCATGTGCACAGTTCAACAAAATCTGAACTTAGTCTATGGATAACTCCACTCCACATATTTGGTTATTGTGAGCGTACTACGGTATTAGTACAAACGTCAGACAGTGGTAGACTCGCAAATTCCCTGGACCACCTTGAACCGACTGCCACTTATGCCAACAAAAAGCAACAGCTGAAGGGCTACGGGTGAGAGGTGTAGAGAGTGCTGGTCTCGATTCACCATCGCGGTCCTATAGAAAACCGCGAACCAAAGCGGGTTTTCCCAATATTACGCAATTACTCACGGCCACTCGCGTATACATCATTTGGAAAGGATAGGAATCTATTGTATCTTAATAAATTATTATTATTCAAAGGCAAAGTCGCGCACATGGAACAGTCCAATAATTATAATATCCGGAAATTGACACTCCTTAATAGTTTCATAGTTCGCAAGGGAAATAACTTACGAAATTTTATCAGAATATTATCAACCTCTTCTATATTAATCAATTAACTTTCGTGTGCTAGACAATTCCCATTGGTATAACGTTCCTACAAATAATTACTGACTAAACCTGGCTTCACATATTCCTGTGCATGTAAATCATTCTCGACTCTACTTGAACACACAAAAAATTTCATCAATATCTGTCCAGCCGTTTAGGAATTTTATTTAGAGAATTACGAACACATGCACAGAAGATTTATATATACCAGCTGTTTATTGTATAGATAAATAACCTAGATACCAGCGTCATCTGCCGGGCTGATTTATGCATCTCATCTCATCCAAACGCATATAAAAAGCAATTCAAATTGGTCCAGCCGTTTAAGAAGAGTAATTTTTTTTATGTAATACAGGGGCAGGAGGCTCACTGATGTTAAGTGATACCGCCCATGGACATTCAAATTGCCAGAAGGTGCCAGGAAGTGCGTTGCCGGCCTTTCAAGAATTGGTACGCTCTTTTTTTTAAGGAATAAAATATAACAGTTTTACAAGCAAGTACATTTATTAAGCATTTGCGATAGACACATTATTATTTGATAGGTTTGTAACATAGTATTTGTATGTGTTACTATGATTTTGATGGAGATTATAATATTAAAACATGCACGTAGAGTTAACACATGATACGCAAATCATGTCATCTTATAATTTCCTGTACATTTCTGCTTAGCTTGCTTTCTTATAAATAGTGGTAGCAGACATTAGAACTAATTATATAATAAATCAATAAAAACTAAATAATAATACCCCATTATAATTTATTAATATCAGAACTATCCATTATTTCGTATAAAATTAATGGGAGCTACATAAAACACGAATATAATTGCCAGTTTTGATTAATTTCATGTCTGTTTGTATTAGTAATTCACTCATTTGAAATGTTCGTCATTTGTTTCTTGTATATATGAGTTATATATCTTTTATATGTTAAATATTATTTGGGATTTTAAGTGTAGTTATACTTGTGTACTATACTAACATATGGATTTCAAATTTGGGCGCTCACTAAAGCAGCATACAAAACTACAGGTGTATCAAAGATAAAATGATGTATGATAGGAAAGAAAATTAATAAAATAAAGAATACATCATCAAGAAGAATAACTAAGGATGGCATGAAAATAAATAAACTTAAGAGGGCCACATGTGAAGAGGAATAGAAAAGTGAAGCAAAAAAGTATTAAAATGGTGCCTAAGATACAATAAACGATAACGATATACCCTTTAGGTTCTATTGATAATAAATTTTTTTTAAATCATCAGGAACAGAGAAGCCAACGAGTATGCTCTAAATTTCAGGATATTGAATCGCATTAGGCCTGGGGATACCACGATTAAGAAAATGCTCCGCTTACCAACACCACCTCTTCCACCTCG